ATATATATATATATATATATATATATATATATATATATATATATATATATATTCATTTGTTTATCCAAATGAGTGTCAGTTTTAAGCATTCTCACATGTGTTAATTCATGGAAGATAGGCTGGTAGGATGCAAGAACGAATTTGTTAATGTGGAGTTTGATTGATGTTTTGCAATATGAGTAAATGCATCTAGGTTTATTGATGTTCAAGTCGGCCACTAATAACAGAAAAGATTTACTGAGAGATTTTTGGAGAACATGCTAAAAGATTCACTATTGATTGCAACTGATTAACGTCACTCAAAATGGATTTTAATGAGCATTTTCCGTTGCTGATCGTAAGTGCATAAACATTCATGCATTCTGCGCTCGTTGTATTGCTTCAGCATTCAATCAATGCTTAAATGGTCGAATCGTTTTTATGTGACTCGTCATATTTTTGTTTTTAGTTGGTCAGTGACGAGTCTCTTTAATACTTATTATTTGGTATGCTGAACGAAATCAAGAAGGGCATCATAAATTACGGTTATCGTTCGGTCTGATTTCCCGGTTCATGATTTTAAGAGATACACGAATTCATATGAATTGTCGCATTGCACCACTGGTGGAAACGAAATGATCATTTGAATTTTTAATCAACGAAGCGATTTCAGTCAGTATATGTGTGCATATCATATGGGTGTTTAAGATTGCGAATGCATACGAAATCTCAACTTTAGTATTTCACCCGCTCTATTCTCGATCCGTACATAGTGTTAGAAGTTATGTAACGAGATTGTTTATTATTTATTTGTGGATCATATTAATCATGGAAGGAAGTGATATGACAAGCGAATGAGAAGGAGAAAGGAGCGTTCGTAAAATTTCAGTCGTTTTCATTGCGAGGCAACTGAAAAATTTTTCCACCAAAGTAAATTGATATTGTTGAGGCATTCTGCAGTAAAGTCATCTGGAAGAAACTGCGTACTAGGTGAGAATCACATGAAATGTTGCTTTCATAAAATGCGATATACTCCGTTGTTCGAACTTTTCGTGTTCTCGCTTTTTTTTCGTTCAACTGAGCGATAATTTTGTCGTTTATTGTTCGCGATTTTATCTTATGCTCTCAGAAATGTTTTCTCATCTCATCAGTTTCGCTGTTCTGTTTTGAATAGGATTGAAATGTTATGCTTAACTATAGTGGTCGCGTACTGAATGCCGCTCATGTTGATTTTTAACAATGCATATGCTATATTTTGATAGGAAACAAAAACCGAATTGTGATTGATATTCGCCGTAAAACCATGTGAAATGGATGTCAGTTGCACTAACGTTGAAATATGTGCATCAATGATGACTGTATGCATATGATTATTGTTTAAGTTTGATTGTTGATTGTGTAAAGTTGCCATTTTCTAAAACGCACAACATTATCAGTTGACAGTATTAGTTAACGAGAAGCAGCCACATAAAACGTCAAACGAGATGCATGCTGAGTGACTACTGACTCACTGGTGAGAAACAACACGAAACAAATTGCGCTATTATGTGATGCTACTCAAGCTCACGCATCATTTCCGACTCGCTCAGCCTATTTAAGTCAAATGAGTGGGTAACTTTTTAAAAGTTATCAATGATTCTAGTTTCAGTAAATACATTATCGTTCATTGCAGTGGGCCAGTTTTCATCGATAAGCTCGTTGTAAAATCTGTTCTCGATTTGATAATAGCAGAAATGAGATTATGTTCATCAGAAGCGTTTCGTTGTTATGTATTCAGTTGTGTAACCTCTCTTGAATATAATATAATGCATTCGCATTCAATGATCGTTGTTGATCAAAGCAGCGATATTATTTCAGTGAATGAGAGAGAAAATGATGATTTATCGTTGAAATAATTCATTCTTTTGCATGTGAACAAAATGGTGTGTGATTTGAAAAAGCCGAAATCTATGACGAATTGTAATAGAATCAATATGCAGCACAAAATGTTTTGATGCTTCTAACAATTCGGTGATAATTCATATTAGCAATGTTTAGCTATTTGCACTTTCGATTTTGTCTTCGTTTTTTGCAAAGTTTACCTTTTACAGAACAATTTGATTGCGGTCGTATAAAGCTTATTGCTTCGCACCCAACCATTGTTCAACGTAGACTTATCCAACTGAATAATTGACCGATTCGATTTTGATTTCCAGATTCCATCTGAAGACACCTTATCTATCTATGCACATCGTCTCGTAACGCAAGCAGAAGTGTATTTACAATATCTTGTAATATCACTTCAATAAATGCTTCTTTCCAAAGAAGCCTCCTAAAAAATTGCATTCAAACACCTGCTTATCGATGTCATATGTGTCCAAGATGCGTTCTGCGAACAAATCGAATGTTATCAATCTTTTTATAAAGCAAACAAGATCAATAATCTCTCATAAAACAAACGATACGAAAATATTTTTGCCTACATTGTCATGCAAGTTACGTTAGTTTTTTGCGATGTTAAAGGGAATCTGGTCATTGTTTTTTGTCGATTGACGCAACTTGTCTCAAATGGTCACCGACTGTGGTCGAACTGAATTAATCGAATTCTGTGAAGCAAATTAATGAAATTATTAATTTTTTCGGTTTTATCTACTAATTATATTGTTGTCTTTAATCAGTTTACCTCCTTTTTTTGGTGATACCGTTCTCGTTGCGCATTCTTGTTGTTCGCAATCATGTTTCATTTCTGCTGATTATGATGTTACACCTCAGCTGTTCAGATTTTTTTGCGTTCTCGGTCACAGATTTGTTCATTGATTGTATTCCAATATTTTGTACATTTACGGTCAATCAGTTAGTCTTTTCTGGAAGCGATCGAGTTGATTTCATTGATGTGTCTCGCAATCGAATCTTTGTTTTCGTAAAAAATGTAAATGCTAGTGCTAATGACTGTTCTGCTGGATACCGCAAACGATTTCATAGTATATCGACAATTCTAATTGCAAGTTGCTCTGTTTTTTCTTCGCCAAGGTATGTAAACTCTTGAGAAGGATCAAATTACGACGTTAAGCATTCACTGCTCAAGTTGCTGAGAATTGGTGCACAACATATAAATACATAGTTCAACACTTACTTTAAAACGAGCTTTCTTCATTCTCGTATCATTTCTTGCTGTTATTTTGAATGTGTGATCAAATATGCAATCTCAGGGGAACTAGTCATGCAGCACCCATCTTGATAGGCGTGAATTCCCCTAAACCTTTCTTCATCTCAGGAACGTATTATAGGTAATGATTTAGAATTCGTTGCATTCTAATTAAAAATTGGTATCAAATTTACTGATGTTGGTTTGTTGTGAGAACGTTCTTCATTATTCATCATTATGATTTGCTATTACATTATTGTTCTTATTCGTTAGTATACCAACATTGTTTGGCACCTTCATTGTATGATAATACTTCTGGTTACATTCAGTCCTTAACAAGCTTAGTTCGTGGCCAAGTGATAAAGGATGTTTTATTTTTAGCAATGCTTTCCACTTAGTCAAATATTCAAAAACTGATCTACCGTAGGTTTCACTTCAGCGGTCTTAAGTTTGTTTCGCTTCATTTCGCTTCATCAATACTGCTTTTTGGATTGTTCATATATACTATCTGTGTGCAAACGTGCAAAGATAGTATGATACAAGTTTTTTTCTTGATTATACATGAGGTATTTTCTTGGATGTTCACACATTTCTGAACAATTGTTTCAGTCTGATTGTGAATATTGAGCAAGTCATTGCTATCACTGTACTTGATAGCTCTTCTGTTTGGCTTAGAAGCTGACAAATTAAAACACGGTAATCGAAAAATCAAAACAGGAAGATAATTCATATTTGTGGTTTTTTGAGCTGCATGGCAAGGAAGTTAATGGATTGAGTTTCGGGTGATCAAATATAGTCAAATTTTACTTATATGAATGTGATTATAACTGTTGAAAATTTTGATATTTTTATACCACAATTTGTGCTCGTTTAGATATGAGAAAGTGATTTGTGCGTTCTGATTCGAGAGAATTCATTTGACTGGTTGTGATTCAGTTGCTGATGTATTATGTCAACAATCAATGTTATATATGCATTGACTGTTTCCTAAAGGAAGCACCCTTAATCAATTGCTTCACTCTTTTCTTCATGCTTGTTTGCGTTGTCTTCAAAAATTGCTCATTCAACCCAAACGTTTTTTTTCGATTATTCCGTGGAGAGACGTGTGATTGAAAACGATTCATACCACAGAGATTGTAATATATACGTATTTTGACATTGCCTTTTAAAAGTTGTCATCGACAAAATGAGTAATTACTATAGTTAAAATTGTACTTTCTATTGCCAAATATTGACTTCATGTGCACATTATAGAAGGAGGATATTTGTGTTTGAACGTGCTTATTTGAGTAGTTATTGAAAGATTGATGCGTTTCCAGCCCTGCAGTCACCGGCACCTTTAATCCAACGCTGTGTGGTGGTCACCCGTCAAGCGGATGGCTATGGCCTGACCGTGACGGGCGATCACCCAGTCTACGTGCACACTGTGAAACCAGATGGAGCTGCGTTCCGTGCTGGTGTTCGTCAAGGTGATAAAATACTGAAAGTGAACGGCATGCCCGTCACTGCGTCGAATCATCTCGAGGTGGTTCGCATGATATCAGGTTAATAATTCTTGATTGATGTTCAGCATCATTGCTTCGGATAACCTTTTTTCTTCTCTTATTTTCTCCGTCATGTTCATTTGAACCGTTTCGACAAAAAATCACTTGCCCATAGCGTTCGTTTTATGTCCATCCAGATATTTATTCCAAACTAATTAAAAGATGATTGGTTCAGGAGGTCAAACAGTTGCTCTAACATTGCTTGGCAAGCCTCCTGAGCCACTACAAACCGATTATCGCTCTCTTGTGGAAATGCGACCGCAGGAAAATAAAGCGCTTATTTCGGAAGTGATTCCTCTTGAAGTTCGTTGCTTTCATTTATTCGGAGTTTGCTCAGCTTATTGCTTTCAGCGCTCTTTAAGATGAACTTATTAATTATTCATATTCGAAAAATGCCATCGATGATGAATGTGTAAGCAACAAATAACACCCTCATTCCAGTCCCACTTATCATTAGGATTGAGAACGACGGATCATACAATGAATCTGTATCTGCTTTTTTCATATTATCATGACGTAAACTTTGTGAATATCTTCTTATTCAGCAGCACTATAATGCCTTGCTTCTGGATCAAATTGTAACTAGAGAAATGCTGAACACATGGCAGTTAAATTGCAAACTGAGTATGATTTGATAGAGCATGAATGCATTGAGAAGCCGCATCGAGGGTGGCCATTTGTATAGTTTTTGAATGTAAAGTTTGGATTAGTAGACACTTAGATAAGGCTGACTAACTGAGTCATGCAACAAAACCGATAAAGTGGGACATCAGCATCTTCAGTGGCTGGTTGATCGCTTTTGTGAACTTTCAGGGCGAGAGAAAAGAAGAATGGAAACGCAAACGGGTGCGAATTATCAGTGAAATGCTAGAAGAAGAGCGACGACACGTCGAGGCAAGTTTACGCCCTTCAGAAACGAGACGAATCGATAGCACTCTTCATTCGATCCCTCCCCATATTTCTACTCGGTTTTGGTGTTCACTTAGTTTCGTTAGTGTGCATATGTCTCGCTTAGAACTTACAACTTGAATTCGTTCATAATAAAATTGCACGCGTACATGCTTCCTGGCATTTGCTTAATTACTTTCAATCAGTTTTTTAATTTCATTTCAGGGTCTTCGTGAAACTTGCGTCGAAGGTTCTCAATTGGAGCGAGCTCTGCAGCGAATAGAAAGCTTGCAGTCTCAGCTGAAAAACATCGAAACACCTCAGGTAACCCAACCCAAGATATTTCTCAACAACTCACTCTAATTAATCTTTACCATCATTGATTACTTCTTGCCCATAATTCGGCCGACTTTGATTACTTAAGGTGTTTGCATCCATTCTTCAGTGGCAGCAAGCTAACAACTCTGTCTACCTCAATTTATTTTTGTATTTAAAACTTCAATTTGCTGTACTCAATCTGGTCATTTTGCAGCTCGTTTTCTGTGTAATTTCTCACATTCTGTTTATTGGCACTTTTCGATTAGATTATATTATATTTGGTGATATCTTTTGCGAGGCACTCCTGTTATATGCAGGGAATTGTTTAGTTCATAAAATCGAGAGCGTTGCACTCACAGCAAGCTCCTGGTAAAGAATTTTTGGTAACATGCTTCAATTTTCAAAAGCTATCAATTATCATTGATAATTTGCATGGGATAGCCTCAAATAAGGTTGCGGTATCGTATGTCTGTGAGCAGTACATATCGATCATATTGTTGTCATCGATCACTTGTCGTTGAATATGACCAACAGAAAAGCAGTAATAAACACCTTGAAGTGACAGAGCATTGATAATGAGCATTTTTGATATGATTTGAATGATAACTTTTTGATAAACGGAATTGCATCGAATGGATAATTAGATGAACAATAGTTGTGAATGATTGAAATTGAAGGATAAGCCGTGGATGGAGGCAAGTGGTATGCATTATATGCAAACGACGGATATTATTCCGATGGAAGAGGAAACTGATGATGATGAATCTGAAATCCCTCTTCCGGTACGCCAATTTTATCGTCTTTTCTTTCATTGTTCGTTTCCATATCGCTTGAAAACAACAAAAAAAAATTAAAGATTCCATCAACTTAGGATTGCTAGTCTGATTTCTTCTTAGTTGTTTTCTTAGAATTAAAATAAAAATTATGGGTGGAATGTGAAGAAATTCGTTGTAATACAGCATAATACGAAAGAAAGTTACTTTCACTACGTTTAGAGTTTGGCATAGCCCAACATTGTTTCGTTCCTAATCTAATAACGGTCATCATTCGTCGTTGCTGCTTCATAATGACCATAATTGCACTAGGCTTTTTTCTGTACGTTTCTCATATACTGACAGGAACTTTCAAATTAAACTATCCGAACACTCATTCATGGTATAATATAAATTCTTATTCATTCATGAATAATTTTGTAGTGATAGCGATATATTTTTCAAAGACATTTGGCATTAAACTATTTCTATGCAACTATCACACTGTGTTTGAAAGGGTGAAATCTTATAAGGTTATAATATCACATAATGAAGATACTCTTGTTGATAATACTGGTTTACTCGAACGCAACGCTCTTGAGCGTTGTAATTAAGTGCAAGAAAAACGTTAATCGCTGGATTATTCAACTCTTTAGATTAGTTACGTTCTTGGATTTGTTGATTTTGAAGTCCGTGTAACATTTCATCCAGAATCCAATTCTGAAAGCATTTGATCGTCAATCAACTGAACTGATCGGAATAGGAATATTTTTTGTGTTATGTAGTCCTTTCAATTATGTTATATTGCAGCTCGAAACTCAGGGACCATTTTCAAACATAGCGGACCTCAAAACGCGTCCAGCACATTTGGCTGCTTTTATTAATTATTTGTTGGTGAATGCGAATCCCAGTAGCTTGGTAAATATGTTCTTCATCTCGTTATTCCTTGAACAATTAAACGTTACTGAGTGAAATGCCAACTGAAAACTGAAAACTTCACGAAACATCATACTAGGTTTATTGGCGAGGTTCATCCAAGATCGCCACTTCAAGCACACCCAGATAAAGATGGGAATTTTTTGCCACTTGCTTAAAGAAAATAATCGTATATTTTGACATGAAGTGTATTTTTAGAGTATTTAAAATCTCAGAAATTGAATTTTGGAATTGGAGCGTTAAACGTTATGGTTGCATGAAATTACGTTCATGGAGCATTGCTAAACTATTCTTTTTGTCGTTCGATTCGGTTTATTTTATTCTTATAGTTTTTCTACTTGATAACGGACGCGTATCAAAACTCGGGTGCAGGCCCAAAAGAAATGAGGAAGTGGGCCTACGAGATATTTTCTACATTTCTCATTCCAAATGCACCGATGTGTTGGAACAATGTCGACCAATCATTAATTCAAAGCATTGATAAGGCATTGAAGCATTCAAATTTTTGTTTTGTATTTAAACATAAACCAAATCTATTTTTCTCATACATTTCGTTTTCTGTTGTCGTGGAATTCAGTGAATACTATGGGCATGTTCAGTCAATTCTTAACGATATGACCCGGGTTTTGGTCAGTCAAAGATGTTCGGTGATTTTTTAGGTGCTTGCAACGACCATTCAATCAACCGAGTCGGATTTGCATCAACTGAAAAAGATTTTTGTTGCAGCGAGGAAGAAATCACTCGATGACATTAATGAACATCTTGCTGATTTTAGACAAAAAAGACAAATGGGTTAGTTCATTGAGTGATTGGCTCACATAAATATATATGTCAACTGGAATTGATTTCTTAAAGATGTTGGTTATAAACAATAAGAATTTGCTGATTGTGAGCAGTATGTAGAATGAAATTGAGTATTGTTGTTAGCAGTGCGCATTGATGAGGCCGTGCAATTCTATTCGCTTTCAAATTTCATCTTGATTAGACAATGTTCTGCACACAGCATATAGCTAGCTCGGCGTTACGGAGATCCCATCAACCAATCGCATCACAATACAAAGGAATTCGCACTCGAAAATGACACTATCCGCTTGATTCGATCGATTCATCCATGAATATCGTTCATTAGAACTGCTGAAAATCCTCACTGAAACTTTTCAAAAAGTTTTATTTAGCCTATTATCCAATTGTAATATTGTTTCATTGTAGATGCATTGAACTTGAAAATTTTCTTCACTGTTCAGCCCATATTCATTTCGGACTACTTTGATTCTTTTTTGATCAAAACATATTTCTTGAGATGGCAACTTCAGAATTTCCGTTCATTTTGTGTTTCATCGATTTTTTTGGAACATTAATGTTTAGTTGATTTTGTTACCAGTTTTAAAACTTCCTTGTGAAGATGCAAAGCCTTAACAGTGTAGAACAGTTATTTTGACTCACATGCAATGGGTGTGGATTCATCGTTAATTTTGAGATTCAAATTTGGCTTTTTAAATGTTTTTATATAGTCATAATTAGCTATTCAGCCTCTCAAGCGTCGTTATATATGGTCATAATTCGCTCATTTGAATGAGAAGCTTTGTTATTAGAAAATGACAAAAGAATGGTTGATATATAATGCAATTTGTATGGCGATCAAACAGACGTTGTGCTAAGCCGAGGAAGCTGGGAAGAGTACTATAGAGATACATGCTAATGATTCGGACACGCAGTATTGTTGTTGGATGAAAATGACGAGCTGAAAAGCAATGCAGGAAATGCATGTAGCATTTGTTGAATTGACAAGGCGTTAAAGAATGTTTGGTGTAAATTACCGCATTTATTCGTGAAATAAACGAATGCGAATCAAATTTTTGCTGAAAATTCATGAAATTGCGAGAATTAGGAATGCCTCTCTTCTATAGTTTTCTTATGCTGCTGTGTGCTATATGGTTTTTATATTCATTTTTTAAAATTCTTTTATTGTTATATCGTTTTCGTCTTCCGGGATCATTTTCCAAAGTTGTGCTTTTCGAAGTGATTTATGAGTGTAAATATTGTTTTGAATAGAAGTATATTGGCTGAACAGTGGATGTTTATTGAAGAAGTAAATAAACAACAAGAAATACAAAGGACTTTAGAGATGATAATTCATAAGAATGAAGTTCCGATATCAGACTTCACATAAAATTTTGTCTCCACTGTTTTATCATCTTCAGTGTTTTGTACACGATATTTTTATGATATACAGCTAACTGAAAAGTAAAATTGTTTTGTTCATATGGCTTGTAGAAGCGAACAGAAGAAGGGTATTTTATTTAGGTTTGGGTAGTTTGTTTGATGCGAATCAATTGGCACACATCAGTAAAGGTGATGCAGCTATGGAGTTGCGTGTTGGTGAAACGATTCTGATTCGCTCACTCGAGAATATGCTCAATTCGGTGAATCAAGATGTTGAGAACTGTGATCCACGCTCTCTCGCTGTTATCTCAGCTTTAGCGACTGTCATTAAGGTGATTTGATTGTATGATTCACCGGTTGTTGGCTTGGCCAACTCAACACGTGTACAATAGCATGCAGCGCACAACAGTATCATTTTGATCGGCAATTTGAAGAAGCATTGGCCACTTTTTCGATGAACAGATGAAAGCCACAATGGAATGAAAGCTGATAGGGCTTAGAGCTGATGAATTTATTGTTGATTGATGAAAATAAATATTTAGGTGGTGCTTAATATGCGTTCAAATACGAATGAAAAAATACTGGATCGATGTCCAACATTCGTCACAAAAGATAAAGGTGGTATGTTCAAAGTGAAGATGACGTCGAAACGTTCAATTCAAGTCAAAGGGCACCAGTTCCTACTTAGTCCAGTGAATTTAACCGTTTATTGCTATCAGTGTCGCGATGCTGTTTGGGGTGTTAACGCTCAGGCTTACTTCTGTCAGAGTAATTTTTTAGTCATTCTGTTCATTGTTTATTATTTCATGTTGCTTTAAAACTCATCAGAAAGCAATGCTTCTGCAAGCAGTCAGCGAAGAAACGCTGAAATGATTATTCGTTTTTGAAATGATCATAGATCTGTTCTATTGAAGATTGTGACGTGGTGGTACATAAACAGTGCACATCGGCATTAGCTGATCATTGCTATCCAGCCACCCAAAAGAAGGTTGCAGCAAGCAAAACAAAAAGGCCAGGTTCATCAAGCAGATGTGACGCTGATGAAGCATGCTCTTCTGAATGTCATGTTGCACACTCATCCACTACTATTTTGGGAAGCCTTGATAAGGTATATCAAATATCTCATCGTTAACAAGTTCATCCACTGTTAGATGCTTTGATATTTGTATGCATAAAATACTACGCCTAATGAAAAGTATCGAAAATATTAAGTTATGCAGTTGCATTTGTTTATCATCAGTGAACTGTGTAATTGACGAAGTATTTTGAGACGCCTGATATTCACCGACTGGAGCATCCGAAAGATAACGTGAAATCGACTTCATCAGACTCTGGAATAGGTGCAGAGCTCGAGAAACCTGTTTCTCGTTCACAGAGTATGCGCTCACGAGTACGTTTCAAACCACTTACTGATTGTATTACCGATCCGCGGATTTCTCATTATTTCAGATCTATTCTCGTTTTGCTTTTCCATCTTATAAATTGCTCGGTTCCATTATTTTTTCCACAGACGAACGGATGATGTTCATTTTTTACCTTTCCTCGTGATCGCTAATACGTCTTAAGCGAAACAACTTCAATAAATTTGATCTGCTTGAAGGTATTTCTGCCTACATATGTTGTGTGTGTCATACTTCTCTCTAGGTTCCATTTTCCCTAAAGACGTAATCGTTTCATTCCACTCACACTTCTTTCAATTGTGAAATCAATTCGGTTGTATTTGAGGCATTCTCAAGTCACTCTCCCTCAAGTCGTACCTACCGACATGCAAGCCCAGCAATGGCTTCCATATATCAGAATGTATGCACCGCCTTTTTTTGCAGTGAACTAAGTTTTAACTAATGCTTCGCTTTGTATACTTTTTCATCAGTCACTTTCTCGAGAAAAGAATGCATTCATCGAAAACGATGCTGGTCTTGAAACCGAATTGGTGTTCGTTTTCATATTGATACATTTATTGTTGAGGAAGTATGCATGACTGGCTTGGAGAAGTGAACATTCAGCTAAAATTGAGATGTAGAATTAGGGTAAGTGATAGTCGAAAAGCTGATCGTTAGTGGCCGATGCGAATGATTTTTGAATGTATAGGAGGAAGAGATACGGAGTACGAGGAAAGTACGACAAACTTTACCGTGGACAGGGGAATTATCAGCGCCTGAGGAAGGCGATGAGCGTTCTCGACGAACATTAAGTGATGCTGATAGTGAAGACAAACTGCTAGCTGCATCCATTTCTCGAACTCCTGCTGATCTCGCTTCCATATCAGGTAATTGATCGATTATAATTGTATGGATAAATGGGTTGGTTTACTGACGTGATGTAATATTCATTTGTAAAATTGCTCAAGCGAATTCAGTTGACGATGATGAAATAGAACGAGCAGAATTCAACATAATGAGTGAATGAATAATATGCTGATCGTTTATCACAACCTTGCAGGAAGTTCATCGATGTCACATGCCTCACTGGGAGAGGAAGAAAGTCGTCGGATGCTAGAAAAAATCGAAAAAGCGGCCGTTGCCGATGGTGACAGTGATCTCGAGGTCAGGCTACTACTTCCAGCAGATAAACTTTTGTTTCAAACGATAAGCGTAACGCCCTGAACTGTTGTAGATTTGGAAATTAGTCGCAATTTTTCACTGGATGTGGGCAATAGCACACTATTCCACTACTAGCGGAGCTACTTTTTTCGGTAGCGCAACAGTGCGCTACTTTCTTCAAATATTTCTACCGATAGGCTCCACTGCAATAATTTTCAAGCGGCACAAAGTAGTGAAATGCAAAAACTTTTGCATCGGAAGCATAGTAACTTTGAGAGTAAGTAAATTAGTAACTGCATAGTAATTTACTAGTGTGCATCATGCATTTCAAGCGGCATAGTAACTTTACTGCACAAAAAACTTTCTCAGTTTGACTGTAGTTATTTTCTTCACAATTTTCGAGATTGAGCAGGTTAATAAGATGGGATGGTAGTTGTGTGGGATTCATTGCAGAATCTGTAGAAATATGATGATCACTAACTTTCACCTCAGGAACTGAGTTAGGCGATACGATAAGGTCCAGATGATCCAGAATTTCAGACGAAATGCTTAGCATGTTGACTTTCTTAAGAAGGAATGAGAAAGTGTAATGTGAGCTGTTGCCAACTGACTGCTTTTCATCTTTGAATTTTGTTGTTATCTTTTGGTTACTTTCTCATCGTCGAAGTCTATTTTGTTATTGAATGATTCGATCCAGTGAAAATTTCCAGCAGTTTGAATGGCTTAGTAATGAGGCTTTTCCCCGGACAAATGAGTGGTACAGTTGCAAATTTTGAAGGAAAATTCGAAAGTAGCGATTAATGGACTAATTTCGCTAAGTAGCGTTTTACTTTTCCCGATGAACGAAATTATCAGCTAAAAATTCTCGCTACATTTTCGGTGACAGTTGCAAATTATTTATAGCAGAAGGAATTTTTTTAAAGCGTATAGCGATTGGCGGAGCTATTTTTTTCAGTAGCGTTCCCATCATTGCATTTTATGATTGCTTTCAGTCTCGCCCCTATTTCAAAAATTGGTTTATCCTGGTTTTAAGATAGTTAAGGAACAGAAATAATCTTCTCATTATCATTTATCCTTTTCATTTTCAATACGCAATTGATAGTCATCCTCAGGTGGAAACTGAAATTCCTTCACTGGATTCGTTCGTTGGCTGGGAAGTGATAAGGCATTTGAAACCAAAGGAGAAGAAGCGACAAGAAGTTATTAATGGTTTGTTTGTTTGTTTTTTTTTTAATATGACAATTTTGATAATTATGCATTCTAGGTTGAGTGCTATCGCTAAAATTTTGATTGTAAAGATACACTTGGATGCTGATATTACTCTTTCATTATGAACTAGCGACTGTACTCATTGTGTTTACCCTCAAAAATCAGTTTGCCGCTCATTCGCGTCGATTACGAAGTATTTTTTTTTCATTCCAATTATAGAACTCTTCCACACGGAACGTACTCACGTGCGAAACCTGAAGATCCTTTATACAGTCTTCTATAAACCGATGGTCATGCAAAATGTTGTGCCTCCTGACGTTGTGAAGTTATTTTTTGCAAATCTTGATGAATTGGTCGAAATCCATGGGGACATGTCGAGGTTAGCTTTTTTTCCACTTCTGGAAAAACCTCTGAAATCTTTTATGAGATTATTTCTCGTTATTCGTATCGCTATTGAATAGAAAGCTGATATCATGAATGGCGTTCGCCAATCTCTTCAAAATTCTGCATGGAAAATATTGAAGTGCGATTTTGCTGGAATGCGATCCACACTACTTGTAGAATCTTTTGCATACGACAAAACTATATGCGGCTAAGGATAGATGCGGAATGTTGCTTCGGTTAACACATCTTTGCGAGTGTTTTTATCATCTTTTAAATGGTGATGGTCTGGCTGTAGTATATACGGATTAGAATGTATATTCATAGTGTTGATAATAAGTAAATGGCTTTGAATGCAGGAAAATGCAGGAAGCAGTTGAAGAGTGGAAACGAGACAGCACCCTGAATGGTTTATTCGGTGAGATCGGTGCATTGATGGAGTCGATGTTCGATGATGAGAACGGCAAACGGTTGATGAATGCAACGTCAGCATTTTGTCAACATCAGCAGCATGCGCTTGACATCTTGCGTCAACGGTTGCTTAAGTCTTTATTGTCTTTAATCTGTATCAGCATTGTTAATTGATTTAATTTAGTCTGCATTGTTAATGAATTGATGACGTGATTCATAATTGTTTATTTCATGCCATTTAGATGTAAAAAAGAGAAAGATGATCAGTTGGGAAGATTTCTGGCTGAAGCTGAGAGTAATCCACTTTGTCGAAAGTTGCAACTGAAAGATATGTTACCCGTTGAAATGCAAAGACTCGTCAAATATCCGTTGCTACTTGAAACGGTAGCCAAGTACACAAATGAACCGTCTGATGAACAAACCAAATTATTAAATAGTGTGAATCTGGCAAAGAAAATTCTTTCCGGTAAATGTTTATGGGCTATTGGAAAAATCAAGGCTTCATTTTTATTAAAATTTTTGTTGTGATAATCTGGGATTAACCAGTGCCTATTTTTGTATTTTGAATAAGTCACCAGAAAAATTATTGTGAAATTCTGTCGTCGATTGATTCAGGTGTTTTCACGGATTCTATCCTGCGTTCAGAAATTTATAAAATATATTTGTCTCGTTGAAAATTTCATTCGGCTGTTTCGTTTGACCGATGTTCGTTATTGTTAAGAATATATGTGACATCGTCATAGAGCCAATGGTTCTTGAGATCTATCTCTATTTTGATGATCTATCGGGGATTGAGTTTCAGCTGTAAATACGTCGAAAAGGAACACAGAAAATCTAAGAAGGCTAGAAGAGTTGCAAAGGAGACTCGACACTGCTCCATATGACAAAGAGAACTTTGGCAACGACTTCAATAGTCTTAATCTTACCAAGTAAGACGACTGTCAATCTTTTTCTAGATATCTTCAGTAATTTTAACCTCAAAATGTTCACTCTAATAGGAACGAAATGTTGGAGATGGGTTGAATGGTTCAACGTTTTCAAATTCAGCATTCAAAATGTACATTTCATCTGATATGGTGAATAATTTTTAGCTACAAGCTTGTTCACGATGGTGCATTAACGTGGCGATTCAGTAGAGGAAAAATGGTGGAGTTACATGTTGTCCTGTTGGAAGATGTGCTTGTATTATTGACAAAAGTTGGCGACGGCCAGAAACTATTATTAAAAATCCAGGTGAAATTAATATTGTATGCAAGTGGTTGTTCACAGTTGTTTCATTTTGAACGTTGCTATGAAGACTGCACAGGTTTTTATGGGGATGGCCGTACACTGAATGAACTTGAATGCGATTTGCAAGTTTAAACGAATCACAGTTATTGCATAACATATGCATAAAATTTAATGAATATTGAGGAACCTTCAAAAGATACAAGATGGTCTCCGATTCTTCCACTGGCACCGTTGATAGCCAAAGAGAAGGCGAATGATAAACGTGCCTTCTTCATTGTAAACACCATGGAAAGAGGTGCACAAATATATGAGCTGGTTGCTGCAACTGCGACCGAAAGGAAAACGTTCGTTCTTCGCAATACCTAATTTGTTGAAACTGTTTCGTTGCTCACTCTATTCATTTATTAGGCGAAACCCTATCTATTTTGCATATTATTTTCTTATTTTGCATTTTTTTTCCAAGTTTCAGGTGGTTCAAATTGATTTCCGATCAAATTGATCTGGTAAAACGTGAAAAGAACACTTTAGGACCACAGGCAACTGTTGAGTGAGTTTTTTGGTTTTTCACTTGCATTTTACTCCGAGCAGCAACAATCAAATATTGTTATTTTATTACATTCATTGTTCACAATTGTGTTTGGATCGTGGTTACATTCCATGTACATTTAAAAATGAAAATAAACGAACTATCGAATGCGTAGGTCATGCACTCTCTGTTCAGTTTTGACATCCTCAACGTAATTCCTCATTTCAAAAAGATTTAATAGAGCTTGCAATGAATATTGCTTTTGATAGTGTTGAAAATTGATTTGTTTTGATTTCGTAAAAAATTTGCTGGTTGTGACCCTGTTGTGGAGTGGCACTCGCTGAATATTAGCATATTGAAAGAAGTGATTAGATGAGTGGAGTAATAAGAGCAGAACGAACATTCAAAGAATGATTGTTCAGTCATTTCGATGTGTCGTCAACAGGATCAGAGCAACGTCGCGATACGAGTAGTGGAGAGGAGTCGTCGTCCCATTTACATCGTGTGCAGATTTCCACTCATCCACGTCTTGTAAATGCTAACGAAATCACCGTTCAGCAACCAACAATTCTTCAGCATGCACAACCTATCCTTACGCCAACCGAACGTTTACGTCGAAACGATGAAGTCATTGTGAAAGCATTGCTTGATAAACATACGATACTATCACAGTTCTTACCAACGCCTAATGTATGCTTTTATATACTTCTCATTAATGATAACTAACGAGTAGCGATTGTGTGTTATGATGAATTGATTGCAGAAGGGAAGTGTTGAAGAGGTGGATACGTTGGCTGAGCAGTTGACAGGTATGGCAGTCAGTGATTTGAAGCAGCGTGATGCGCGTGAGCTTGCAATGAGTGCAATTGTGCAAGGCAATCGTCTTCTTGATGCAATTAATCAAGGTTTTGATCGTTCTCTTCAGCTTGCTTCATCCTTTTGCAAGCAGCATTGCCTTGACTCAAAAATAAATTCATCTGGCAGTTATAAATATCATCGTTTCCTAAAGTGGTTCCTCTCTCACAATCTCTTGAAAGTACCCATCTTGGTTAACCTAACAAACAATAGCTCTCTCTCTTAAAATACTAACTGATTATAGTCGGCTGCAGTGTTCACAGAGTTGTTCGCAGTTTCGGCAAGCATCTGACAATAATATTCAATTACAACGTGTCGATGTTCTTGCAAAATTTTTGTCTCAGACAGCTCAATAAATTAGGGAAAAAAGAGTCAGAAAAAGGATGCGGTATGATTTTTGCACTCACACTAATACATAAGCTCATTTGGAGGCTTATTTACGCAGTGATTAAAAGAGAAATTAGGATTTTTGTTATTAGAAAGAGAGGACGATGAGAAATGATGAACATTGAGGAATGAGCTCCAAGAAGGAAGTGGATGAATCGAATAGTGGTAAAGTGGTTCTGAAGTTGGATAAGGTGGAACCAGATGTACCGTCTGTGGCTTGTTACAAGCTCACCGCTATTGCTGCACCGTTGATGAACCATCTGAAAGCAATCATGCAAGTCGTTCAAGATCAACAGAACGAAATCAGCGCTATCAAACAACAACTCTATCATTATAAGGTATCTATTTAAATATCGCTTAGATAAACCACCAAAAACCACAAGTGTTATCTGTACGAGAAGATGAATGGTGCACTACAATTTGAGGAGCTTGCTGAAGGAGGCCCGGGCAATCGAACGGTAAGTGAGGAAACGTTGACCGAATTGAATACATGTGGTCGGAAGGCATCAACGCCTTCAGATGCAGATGTTGAGAAACGGAAACGCCTGCAGACGAAACGGCAGCGTAACAGTGCGATCGCTGTTTCACCAGCCTTTCTGCATTCGCCTTCGCCGACATCTAGCTGAACAGAACAGAGCAGAGCTCAAATGCTAGCTTTTAAAGAACGATTGATTTTTACGACGAGTGCACCTTAGGAGTCTTTCCTTTTCGATCAGTTGAGATCATTTATGCAGCATCTTTTTTGTTCTTCTTTCTAACCGATTCATTCACGGTTTTTACAGTCTGTGTCTTGTTTTCAAGTCTTTATTAGCTCACGCGAACACTGTTTCTTCATCCGTCAAATGCGTTTCGTTAATCAGCCAAATTCATCGATACATGCGATGAATTTCTTGAAAGAAAGGTGAATACTTTCATGAGATGAACATGGAATCAGCTTTCTATAAGATGAAAATATGGTAGGCGATTGTCTTCGATACTGTTGATAATTTTCATTGAGAAATCATTGTGTTCAAATGGTACAAGCAGTAACATTCTTATTTCTGAGAGATAAAAATTTGTTCAGATTCCGTTTGGGGTGTCAGGTTTCGTGGGATGTGAGAAATAACATTTCTTTAGAAACTGTGCAGACTAGTGAATTTCTCCGAGAGTCGTCATTGTCCGTGTGGCGAATAAAGAGTAGGTTGTAAGTCTATTCTTATTATGTATAAATAAGAAGATGTAGTAAAATGGCAATTATGTTGAATGTGAACAGGATGTGTGACGATGAATAGCGATAAAAACATGACGAAGAAAACGGGTGGATGAATTTGAAGTCGAACTTATGTTAAGTGAATGATTGCATTCAGGTGGAAGGTTGTAGAATCAAGCAGTTTTTTATTTACTTTATGTGATTCGGCAGCACGAGCATGACAAACTGGACTGAGTTAAGGTAATATAGGTGCATCATCATATGTTGTCTCAGTATCATTTCAGTGTCAGTGCTCAATATTACTTCCAATGTGAGCCTCTTTCACCAACTTGTCATTTAAGAATCCTGATGCTGTCGAATTTCCTGCAACGAGTAATTGTTGCGATCACATAGATTCGATCAAGTGGTGCGATTCAATCGCTCTATTCCATCGTATTTGATGATCGTAATCATTATTATCACTCAAAATATTACTCTTACTATTATTGTCAATATTATTATTTTTTGTTATTATTATTATTATCACTATTAATATTATTACTATCCTTATTAATGTTATTATAATTAATATTATTATTATAATTACTATTACTAATACTTTTACTATCACTATTTTACTGTTACTGATAATATCATCTGTTGTTATAAATTATTCTTTAATATATACTAATTGTTATTATTATCAGTATGATTGCTACTGAAATTGTTAATGTAGTCGGAAGAATATTTAGCTGATGCAGTTAGCATCATTATATTATATGTAAAATATTCTCATTTGTCATGTTCATTGTATGTACTTGTTGGTAAATTATGATGCACTTCATCGTCTTAAATCACTTTTGTCGCTGATGATTGATTGAAATACGACTGAAAGTGGTGATGTATTTTTGGTTGGCTGCTAAGAGGTTTTCAAGCGTTTCGCCGTTGGTGTTTCAAACTCATCAACTGCCAAGTAATAACAACAATTTTTCAGTAGTCCCTTCCGCTATTTTGAAAATCAGCTGGGAAAACTTTTTCGTGAACGCACTCTTTGTAAGCTGGTCGTTTCGATTGTTTTCCCGATACGTATTGTATATAATACATGAAAATTATTTGTTCATTCGGTGATTCTTGTAATTGAATGTGTGTGTGTTGTATATGTTATGAACATAGTTGCTGATTGATTAATATTTGTTTAATAATGACTTTTCTGTTGTTTCATCGTTATTGATCTGATCTGATTTGATTTGATCTTATTGAAGCATCGTTTCATTCAACGAACATTAATATGATTTGCATTAGTGAATGAACGGTCTTCTTTTTTGAGGTCAGATATATTGTAGTTTCATGTAATTTGAATTTTCCGTTTTGCTACCAAAAGGCTCGGTCGGGTTCACATGCAACGACACGTTGAAACAGTTTGATTGTTCATGCGTTCCCGACAAGGAAGAACCTGTCAAATTTGACGAGTTGCTGTATTGAAGGATGTTACCTTCTTTCTTTGATACTCATCCCAATTCTCGCGAACATCTTGTGGAGTTGAATTATTACAGTTCGAGACGGCAGCACTTATCGTTGCATGCTTTCCCTCAATTCGGTCGCTGTTATGTTTTATGCACGGAAGACACTGTTTGTCGTGTTTTTCAAATAATTATGCCAAATTCGGAACAACTGGTTCCTTTTTTGATTTCACATTTGCTGTTATCGTCGACAAATTGGGATTGATTTTCTTTATGCTGATAAATCGAATTAATGTTACTGGCAAAGTGATGTCGAAACTTACTGTCCTCATTCATTCATGAAATCTTTACGTAGCTGATTATTTAACATTTCTCTTCTAATGTAAAGGCTGATTTCCGAAAAGGTTGCCTTCTTGGCATCGGATGTGTATTGATTGGTGAAGAATCTGAATTTGTTGGACGAATATATAATGATCAATGAAGCTCTACTACTTTTTAATTTATGTTCTTCCATTGCATATTGCACGAATTGAATAGTTTCGCCGTTTTGGTGAGTTAATCAAAATAGTTGAGCGACCTTTTTGACAGAACCGAGTAACATAAGCACTGAATAAAGAGGTGCAATGTACAATTACAATGTACTGCTTACTGTCAATCCGTCTTACTTAGCGTTTGCAAAATGTCGACGATTTTTCCATACCAGGATCGGAATTAAATCCAGGGATCGTTCTTCTAATCTCGGGATATTCACGGGATCCGGCAACTTTATAAATGTAGTGTTCAACACATTCTTTTTGAACCAAAGCATTTGTGATTAATCACAAAACAATTCATTCAACAAATCATACACATAGTAGCATTTTAAAATCTGAGAACCATTACAAGTAAAAACATCAATTGTTGAATTTTATACGACAATATCTGAACCTTTTCTTCAATAGATTAGTGTTCAGTTGCTTCCATCTGAGATGAAAGGAAACCAAACGCATTCCTCGACAAATTTTTGTTTAAAATTGGCAAACTCTTCAAACTTTACAGGTAGCAGGATTCGCGAATTAATAATTAAAACAGTTGAATTAGAATCATCAACAAAAGGAATGATCACCAGCATTGTGACGAAAAAATGGAATTAAGATTGACAAACCAGCGGCATATGCAAAGAATATAATTTAGTGAAATTTGAGATGAGCTTTGAGAAACATTAGGGCGTTGATCGTTGAATCACTCATTCTTTTTCTCAGTAGTGTTGAAACTTGAACCATTAACAGAGCAAAGCTTGGCGATCATGTCATTAAGTGGATCAGTAGTTGGTGCAGGGTTAGCTTTAAGGAATTTGGATATCGGTGGATTTCACCTGGCCTCCGGAGCATTTACTTTGTTGCGGAGTACTTTATGGTGCTCTGAATTTGAATGCACAAGTACTTCTTTTGTGGATGATCTTTTTGCTTTCATCGCACAGTTTACATTTATTTTGGAAAGAAAATATTCCCAACAAGGAGAATGATTACCGTTTTCGTCATGTTTTTGAATGTATCCGGGTGAACATGCACTGAGACACATTCTAAGAATTGATGGACCGTAATAAACGAATGATAAATACGAAACAAGAGTGATGACGTTGTGAACGTGTTGATCACTGTTTCGTGAAAAAGAAAGCCGAGATGAGTTATTATAC